GCACTTGTGGATCCTTAAATTGGTCTCATTTGATAAAAACCAGCACCGAACAGGCTACAGCGTGTGGTTTTATCAGCAACATTACCCATTGGTAAATTAGGCTTCATTGTTGCAGCGGTTGTTGTTGTTTCATCAACAGTTGCCACGGTGGCATCAATTGATGCCACGTCGAGTGGAGTTTACGTAATGGTGGTGTCAATGGGAGTGTTGATAGGATCCATCATATTTGTTTCTGTTGAGAAAACATGAGAGTGGATTAGTACTCTAATCAACAAACAACATATTATTTAATACAAAAATAATAATCTAAAATTGATTATAATTTTTTGTATTTCTAGAATTCGCAAAAGCGTTTGAAATCACCAAATATTGATATAAGTCTGAAAACCGTTTTACGAACTCGCTTTAAAGCGTTCGCATAAACGTTTTGTGTAGACTTTGTATTGTTTCACCGACCCGCTTTTGAAAGCGTCCGTGGAAACAAATCGTTTTTAGAATCATATAGCGAAAAACGTTTTACGGTAATGCTACACAGCAAAACGTAAACCGTCTTTATATAAATAGGATATATTTTGCGGAAATTTGAGTAAGCAAATCACAAACACCATGCCAAATATAACCAAAACCGTTCTATAAATCGTGTCAATCCGATTAAAAGCTTTAGAACAAAAGCGATTCAAAGTTAGATTGTTGAAGCCGGTAAACCGGATCGACGTAAACAATTTAATAGAAGTGTTGTTAAGGAAACAGATAATTCTAAAGACAATAATATGAACGGTAAAACATGGATTCAAGATATAATCTATTTTCTTAACTTTGAATATCCGCTCCGTAGTGAGACAAAACTATACGAATATAGAGCTCTAGGATAAAAAAGTGTAGAGGTTTCACGCTTCACTCGTGAATGCCCTGACGAACAAACTTTTCTACAAAACACTCTCTAGCACTTACACTGGGAGATTTTCTGGTTTTTATTGTGTGAAAATGTTATCGATGAATGAAGAAGGAGACGAGTTTTTAAAGAGGACAATACGAGCCACTTTCCATAACTGATGCAGCACGTGTGCACGTTGGCGGAAATCTCGCGAGTAACTTGGAGGTGAGGCGTTACGAAAACTTTCTCCACAAAGATCTTTTCTCGTTTAAACTTCTTGTCTAGGAGAAAGACAGCGTGTTGTTTTTAACGAATTATATGTCGTTTAAATAATATGTATTGCTTTTGGAATTTGAATAGCAAAACGTTGAGCTTAATTTAGTCCAAAGAAAAATACTTTACCGGACGGTGGCGGCCAACGTATGGAGAGTCCTCTTTTCCACTTGCTGTTTATCTTCTCATAACACAAGGTCATATATAATGCTCACCCACATCTCTTGTTCCCGATGTAAGACAAACAAGAGTCATTTGTTGACTTGTTTTTGGACTTTAAAACCTCAGCCCAAGTCAAACTCTATTCATCTTTCAATAAAAGCCATGGGCTTTAATATTGATCCAACATGTATATGGTTAGAACAGAAATCAAACCACAACAGTTATACACTTGTGGTCCAGCTTAATTTGTATCTTTAGTAATAAGAGCATCTTTATCCCAGTCTCTCTTAATAGGGTGTCTTAGGGTAATTAGGAATTAAAAAAAACAAAATTAATTCTAAAAGAAAGAACGTATCTTAAATAAGACATAGAAGATACATCTCCTAGTGCACGTGTTAAACTATTGTTCGCCTCCCTCTCCCTCTCTCTCCCTACCTCTTATCTAACCCACCATGCGATCTCTTCAATCCTCCTCCCTTGGCACATCTCATCTGAACCCACTTTGAATCGACAATCCTGTTTCCCTGCTTCATCATCATGCAGAGAACTCTCTCTCTTCTCTCTTCTTTGATCTCCTCTCTAACACCAGTCGATTGGTTTGAACAATCGATTCGATTGGTTTGAAAAATTGATTCGTTTCACTGAGCCATGAGTTTTTGAAATTGGGTCTCCTTTGTTTTGATCATCCACTTACTCAACTCGTCTCCGATTTCTTCTTCTTCCTTAACCTCAACTCGTCTCAGGTTTTCTCAAATCCCTCCAAACTTTCTTGCTTTAGCTAAAAGAAACGATATTTATGATTGGATGGTTGGGATCAGAAAGAAAACCCACAAGAATTCAGATTTAGGTTACCAGGAAGTAGAGACATCTAAGCATGTCTTCGATTCAGATAGATGAAAGCCTTAATACCATCACATAATCAATTGAATCTGTTGCCACTGATTGTTGTTTGAAATGATTATAGGCAGACTTGTAAATCGTAGTTTAAGTTTGTTGTGATTGTAATCGTTGCATTGTTATGTAATTGAATCTATACTTTAAGTTTGTTGTGCTTGCAGTCATTGCATTGTTTTGTAGTTAAGTTTGTTGTTCTTGTTCTGTTTAAGTTTTTTCTGTTTGTAATCGTTGCATTATTCTGAATTGTTCTGTTTTTAAGGTTTTGTTGTTCTTGTATTATTTTTAATGTTATCTTCTATGCTTGTTTTCTTGTCTGATGTTTGTATTGTTCTTGTTCTATTTTTAATGTTGTATTCTATGCTTGTTTTGTTGTATGATGTTTGTGTTGTTCTTGTTATATTTTTAATGTTGTCTTCTATGCTTGTTTTGTTTATGATGTTTGTGTTGTTCTTGTTCTGTTTATGTAATGATCTATGTGACATGGATGGCTGATTCTTTGCAGTGTTATCTGCACATAGTGATCCAAAGTATGTGATTATTTGCAGTGTTATCTGCAGAAACACCACGCTTCAGACTTAGTTGAGAACGATTGCTACTCTCTTTTTATTACTCTAGTAGGAGTTAATGAGAGCAAACAACTCTTTATATTGCTCTGATAATAATATAGTCAAAGAGATTACGTTCCATAGAATTTTCAGCTGACTTTCGAAGTAACCATAGTTTGCAGCAAAACTATATCACCATCAAGTGAAGAACCATCAACGATTGAAGCCGGTAAGACCCGTCGCCGCCATCTACAATAGATCTGTCAATTACCTAAAATCTTAACACACATTTATTACTAAAAAGTGATTAAGAGACCCTTAAGACCAACATTATTGGTATGATTAATTTTTGAGTCTTTAGGTTCTTTTATTATTATTGTTATATTAAGAGACAAAGCTAAGGACAATCCCAAAATTGTAGATTATTGGTAGAACTTTTTGCTGTCTCTTAGTAAATTAGAAGTTTGCCTTCACAAAGCAAAACTAATCTATCATCATGAAAGAAATACTGGTTTTGGTTAACTATCTATCATACAACACTAAAGCTCATCACAAAGCAAAACTAATATATCATCATGAAGCAAAACTAATGTATCATCACGAAAAAATACAGAAATTTGATAAATACTAAGCCAAAAATACTCACACAAAGTTTTCTCTACTGAACAAAACTCGTAGATTACTAATGAAAGTATCAACATATCAAAGGATTCTTCACTACTATAATGATTACCCTTTTCAAATTCACTAAACTCTATAAAGCAGAAACTTAGAACATGGATGGTGTGTTTATGATTGGTAACGTGCGGCCATCGATGGTGTGTTTCTCCATGGTGACTCTTTCTGCAACACAAGGATCAGCAAAGACGATGAAACTGAAGCCACGAGCACGTCCTGAGGTACAGCACAAAGTCGCAACAGCTTGCTCTCACACAGAGAACTCAAGTTCTGTATAAAAAACATACACACACTAGGAGCTTAAAATATTAACAAGTAGTCTCTAAATTCGTACTGTTATATAAGTGTCACATCTTTGTTTTTAGAACCACTAGTTTTAGATGATTTTGTTCCAAGTAATACACTTTTTAACCACCTTGCAGGCTTTCCCTTTATGTTCACAACCAATCACTTTTTGCAACTTTGGATACCGAAGAATTATAAACAGTTTGTAATAGGATTCACTATGCTAAGTTCAATGGATCATCCATTTGTGAGCTAATGATTAATCAGCTCTAATTGATATATGTTCTTCTAGGTGTATATGAGAGTATATGTGATGCATTGTAGAAAGTCAGATTCCAAGTGAGAAAACGTACCTTAGATTCTTCTTCTCATGATCAGAATTAATAGCCATTTTTGAATCAATTTCTTTGGGCACTGATTCTGTGTAACAAACCCGAATCACAGTATCTTAATTATATGCCAGTGATTTTGTATAAGAAGAGACAAATTGTAGCATATATGATTTTTTTATCAAATTAGGTTATAAACCTGGAAGAGATTGCCGTTTCTCTCTTATTAGTCCTCGAGTTCGTCTTCTTTCTTCATTTGTTCTTGTGCGATCCAGGATTCCATCAAAAATCTCAAAACGGACTCAGATTCTAAACAAAGAAATCACAAACAAAGAGAAGAAGAAGAAGCCAGAGAACACGTTTTGCCCTACACGACTTCCACATCCAATCCGATCTTACCACCTGGCGCTAAGGACGACCCGCAAAATTCCTTAATTAAGCGACGTTTTCAACTAATTACACCATTTTTTATTTATTTTTCGTCCCATTATCGCAAAGGATGCGGTTAAGCGACGACGATAATGTTGGTCTAAGGAATTTTAGAAATTCTAGGAAGAAAAAGCAAGAAACGGAAATGACTTATTTTCTCGCAAAACACCTCTCCTCTCTCTTCTCTCCTATTGACATGCGTCCCACAAGAGTCGGATCTTCTGAACCTTAATTAAGACTCGAGTCCTAGCTAAATCCCTATTTTCCATTTAATTTTAATGATTATTACACTAAAAGCTTGTCTTAAGAGCCTGGAGTAAACATGCTCGAATGCTCTATGACTTTACCCACTGATCTAACCGATCAATCATCCACGTTGTTGTTTCCTCTTGAGAAAATGAATTTATTTATTTATTTATTCATATATAAAAGGGTCAGGACTTAGCAAACACGAAACCACAGTCTCATCTTCATGACTGTTTTGTGAGCTGCGATGATCGTGTGAATCAAAATCTCCAACTTTAGAAATCGAAATTGTATGTGTGTGACCCTTTGCGCCATGGCGATCTCTCTTCTTCCCCGACCTTTCGTCTCGCTCCGTAAAACTAAAATCTTCAACCTTCCACCGAGGGTTTTCGCCCTTAGGCTATCATGCTCTTTTTCTTCTGATGGGTCCACCGGAAACCCAGAGAAGAGATCTTTCTCTGTTACCACTGGTGACATGTTCATCGATATCGGGTCGAGGCTTTTAAAGAGATCCAATAGACATAGAATAGGAACAGTAACTGAAGATGAGACCGAGCCAGGAATGATATGGGATCAGAGGATGAAAGATGTAGAGGCTGATGTGAAAGAGAGGAGGATAATCACTAGCCCTGGGTTTAGCTTCTCTGCTGCTGGTCTTTTGTTCCCTTATCATCTTGGTGTTTCTCAGCTACTCATCGAGAAGGGTTACATTACTGTGGGTCTTGAATTTTCTATGCTTTATATTATTTATTTATGAATCAAGAAAATGTTCAAAGGTGAGAGAGAACATGGTTTTGTTTCAGGACACTACTCCTTTGGCAGGAGCCTCTGCTGGGGCTATTGTATGTGCAACAATAACCTCAGGAGCATCTATGCAAGAAGCCCTTGAAGCTACCAAGGTTCTTGCTCATGATTGCCGACGCAATGGCACTGCTTTTCGTCTTGGGGTAATCACCCTTTTTCTTCTCAATATGCCTCTTTTGTATTAAGTTTCTAGGTGCTTCTCTTCTTTAATATCAATCAAATCATCAACATTGCTTTTAGATTGTTCTATGTTTCAAACAGTTGGCTGATCTGCATTTTTATAGAGTTAATGGAGTGAAACAAAAAACACACCAAAGTGAGATGTTGTAGTTGATTCAAGTCTCTGTGGTTTTTAGGCTGTTCTTAGAGATTCTATGGAGAAATCACTGCCAGATGATATTCATATTAGGTCCAACGGCAGAGTTCGTGGTGAGAAACAACAAGCTTGCTCATCAATATGGTTTAGTTTTGCCAAAGGACAATCTTTTTTTTTGGCTCTGACGTCTCTGATCATTCTACTGTATTGTAGTTGCCATCACACAGGTGTTCTGGAAACCTAGAGGTATACTGGTGGATCAATTCGACTCAAAAAGCGACCTTATTAATGCAGTTATTGCATCTGCCTTTATTCCAGGGTAAATAATACTCCCTTGCTTTTGGAACTTCACAGTTTCTCTAGAAAAATAAAAACTTACTAAATATAATATTTAAGAGGAAATGCAGATATCTTGCACCAATGCCTGCAACGATGTTCCGTGATCGAGTTTGTGTTGATGGAGGCTTGACATTGTTTATGCCACCAACAGCTGCTGCTAAAACAGTATGTACATGAAGATGCTTCTTCTTTTCTCTATCTTGTGTCTGTCACTTTTTCGCTGTTCATTTCGTATCTTTGAGGTCAGCTGAAAAGTGTGTGGCCTTGTCAAATATTTTGGAAGGCCTTTTATATGCGCATATCCATGTTCCACGGATCTTAATGAACTTTCTGTATATCAAATCTTTTAACAGGTTCGAGTTTGTGCGTTTTCCGCGAGTAATTTCGAACTAAAAGGTATTGGGATCAGCCCGGATTGGAACCCTCTAAACAGGGCAACCTCAAGACAAGTAAATGTTCAGTTTTTTTTTTTTTTCTAGTGAGATCATTTCTCCTTTGAGAGTTAAAGTTTGCTAATCTTGGTTTCTCTGATGTACTTAGCTATTGAATTGGGCACTGGAGCCAGCAGAGGACGAGGTGCTGGAGAAGTTGTTCGAGTTAGGATACGCGGATGCAGCTGCATGGTCTGAAATGAATCCAGTAGAGGAACTGGTCGGTGATGATACTACTTCAGCACAAGAGATTCAAGCCAATTAGGACACACATAAGAAAGTGCATTCTTAATTTCTTCTAACCTTATATAGTATGAATGAATAGTAGATTCTGATTGTTTTCCAACAACCTGGCCTTTGTAAGTTGCAGAAACTTGTAGTTCTTAGATCAACATATAATCCAATGGTACGTCACTTAATCTTGAGCGTGTAATTCGAAGAAGTGGGCGCACACACAAATATTCAAACATTTCTCTTATTCAACATGGATCAATCAAGTTCAAAGAAAAGCTACAAACAAACATTATCCACTCAACATTCGCCTCACAATGCTTTGCTACTTATTGGGTGTGGGGGCAAAAGCAAAACAGTTTTTTGATTCATACTTTAAGAACGTTCCTATCTGGTTAGCCCATGCTCTCATCGTCTTAAGGTAGAGGTAAAGCATCTGGTACGGATACAGCCACAGGTAAACTGTCGTGCATATACGCCATTACAAAGAAGGACAACATGGCGATAGAAAGGAGTAGTAGCGGGCCTGCTGGGACCGGTTTCCGGGAAGACGCCAAACGAAACCCTGCAAGAAAGTCACGTCCGATGAGAAGATAGTCTGTCACGCATTTGAATATATTGTATGAAAAGACAGCACATATCTTCTTGTCAAGAGAAGCTTACCAAAGACAGAAGAGAAGAGGAAGGCAGAGGCAAGTCCTATGGTATCACCAAGGACTCTTGTCTCAGGAGATTTGGTAAGGAAGTAGGCCTGTATCGAAAGTCAAACACTGGAATGCTCAACGAGTCTATATATATATATTGATTTCAACAGCTAAACAAAGAAGATGTGGGTGCTTAACAAACAATTAACTGGCAAAAAAAGCTTAGGCGGAGAACAACATTAAGCAGAAACAATCACTGAACACTGCACCCTTGGTTCTTCACATCGATTCCTCCTCATAGGAGAAGTTCAGATTTAAAAGGCTATACATGAACAAGAAACTAAAGAAAGAGGAAGATCTTACAGAAGACATAAGGACAGAGCCTGTCAAACCCCCAAAGAGAGAACCCTTGCTTCCAGATTTGCTATCTGAAAGAGAAAAATATCAAACTTTTAGTCAAGTGAGCAAAATAAATCCAGACTAAGAGCGTCAGGAACTTACAGGCGAAGAGACCGCCTCCTAGAAGAAGAACACCATAACCAGCAGATACGGCTGGAGCTAGCTCCGACAGCTCCGCCTTACAACAGACACCATAGCCTCGTCTGCTCCTCGACAACTTAGCAAGTCCCGACCTATTCCGGCCGCAATCTTTGACACTCCGTCCAAGTAGTTTAGTGTTTCGCACCGACACCACCGACGGAATATGTAACGTTAGCGCAAAAGAAGATGACATTGCTTCAGCCGAGAGAAGAGAAAGAGATCAAAGTAAAAGAAATGGTTTTCAAAGACTTATTTGTCCTTTCGATACCCGTAATTTTATTTTATTTTTTGGTAGTTACAACAAAGTGCGGGCCGGGCCTCATGATATATCACAGTCACATTCTAGAATTCTCCCTTGATGACGCTGATCTAACCCGCAACGCGGGATCTTAGAGCATTATCAATCCAGCACCCCATTAGGGATGTTTAAATGACCAATTACGAACCGTCACACGTCGTGGAGTCTACAGAACATGGCAAACAACATAGAAAATGGAGTGCTTATGGAGACAGCATAAGCAAGGATGTTTAATTTTTTTGGGCTTTTTGGTGCTGGAACCGAGGGTAAACACCCCCGATTGATAATGCTCTTAGTTGTTTCTTAGCATTAATTCTTATACCAAATAGATTAAAATAGTATTAGAAAATTTTCTCCAAGAAAAGTTCTTTAATTAAGGAGTTTAAGGATTTAGTCCTAGATGAATTGGCAACGTCTGATTAGTGTGGATTAGGGTTATGTTTCGTAAGGAGAAAAAAAAAAGCATTCATACTCGCGACAATAACAAAAAAAAAAAACTCTGCCAGCGAAATGAAAGGCGATTCTACGATCCTCATTGTTAAAGGTAAATCGGAGCGTTTTAGTTCATTATTTTTGCATTTAAAGTTGATGCATCTTGATTTCATCAGTTTTTAGGGTTCGATTGTGGGGTTTAAATATATTAAGGGTTTCAAATCGAGTTGGAGATTTAAATCGAATTAGGGTTTTCGTTTGGGTTTGCTATTTTCTTCTTTTTAATTATCTTCTTTGTTGTTTTCGCCGCGATTAAGGGTTCAGGATTGAGTTCTAAATCGATTTAGGGTTTTCGCTTGGGTTTGCTAAGTTGGGGCTTACAATCCAGTTTCGCCGCGATTGAGGGTTTGCATGGGGTCACAATCCAGTTTGTATAAACAATTTAACTTTAGCTATGCTTATAGCGATCTAGCGACTTTGATAAGTTTTTTGTTCTTGCAGGTTCTAAAATGGAGGAAGAACGACGAGATATGAAAGCACACAAAGCATATTGTGACATGCTTGATTTCATTGCAAATGCGCAACAGGGGATTCCCAAACTGTGCCCCTGTGGATCAATCACGAAGGAATTCGTAGATGAAGAGGATACATATGACTACCTCCCTGTTAATAGATACTTCATCTGCAAAGGCTACCAGGTTTGAAGTGTTATATCTCTTATTATCGATCTTGTTCTTCCATATTGATTTGTTGTTTGTAAAAACTTTTTTCTGTTTTGGCAGAATGACGGACTGCATTTCAGGAAACCATGGGTTATAGGTGTGCAAGAGAGGTTGAGAGGCTCAAAGAATGGGTTCACGAGCATGAGAACCTTCTGAGAGAGTGTCAGGCACTTAAGGTGAGTTATATCTTATCAGTATCATAACATTGATAGTTGTTTGTACTATCATTCTAACCTATTGATTGGTTTCTCTGATGTCTGTTCAGGCCCAGGTGATGATGCTGCTTATGCGTGTGTCTGAACTTGAGAAAGTCCTCTGAGGTTAGTGTATAAACTTACCCGTCTTCTCTTCTTTTGTTTGAACTCTATAACTCTCTAGTTCAAACGGATTTTAGTCCGTAACTTTGTAGTTTGAAAACAATAACGTCTGTAGTTTGAACTGGTTAACTTTGTAGTTTGAATTCCAAAGTGAAATGATAGGTTATAAATGCACATTAAACCACCATTAAATTGTGCCTAACTACTTCTTTTAGACTAAAATTTCACTAAATTGTCTCTAGATGTTTTGATATGACAGTTTTCTACTAGGATTCACTAAAGTTGAATATAAAATCCCTTATTTAATCCTCTCCATTTCTACTAGAGAAACACAGAGGCTTCTTCCTAAATGGCAAACTCCTTTAGTTTTGTTAACCTATTAGCCAACCAAGGGTCAGTTGACCTTGACTCATCAGAACCTCTTTGGTTTAGCAGCCAATGTTCTGATGAGTCTAGTGTCAAAGGGAGGAGAAAATGGTCACCCAAGGAGGATATAGTCCGCATTTGTGCTCGGCTCAACACCAGCAAAGCCTCAATAGTGAGTAATGAACAAAAATTTGGTGCCTTCTGGAAGAGGATTGTAGAGTACTACAACTTTAGTCCTCTCCTGGTTGGGACAACCCCAAGAGAACTTGGGCAATGCAAGCAAAGATGGGCTAGGATCAATAATCTGGTCTGTAAGTTTCCTGGCTGCTACGAGATGGCACTGAGGGAGCAGAGAAGCGGGCAAAATGACAACGATGTGATGAAGGCTGCCTTGGATATCTTCCACAGTGACCAGGGACCAATAAGGGTTAAGGCTGCTAAGGCTGCTAGCAAGAGGAAGAAAACTAGAAAAGAAGAAGAATTGGCAAAGTTAGAAGGAATGTTGGAGATCAAAAAGCAAATCTCAAAGCAAAGTTTGCTAGACCATTTGCTTGCAAATCCCGAACCACTCTCTGAGATGGAATTAGCTTTCAAAATGAAACTTATGTCTGAAATGTTGTGATTATTGATGGTTTGTTAGCTCTAACTTTAGTGATGTTTTCATTAGAAATGTATGTAGTTTTCATTTCACAATTGTAGTACACATTTGCTTATCTTTTTACTTTGCTTACTCATCTCATTTTCTCTGTTTCAGGTGAAGTACAAGACCATGTACCTGATTGATGGTTTGTTAGCTGATGAAGTCACGGGTAGTTTGTTTCTTTTTTATTGTATTTCTATGTGAACCAAGTCACGGGTAGTCTGATGCTCTTTCTTATTTTTATAAGTCTGTTTGTAGACTCGGCTATGAGCTATTTCATTTGCTCTTCTTTTACTCAAAACATGTAACTCTATTCTACAATCTCTCCTTCTACTGTCTTCAAAACTTGTTATGATATTTTAGTGAATAATGTTTTTGTGTATCTTCTTTAACTCACTCTCCACAACCACAATTCCAAGGTAATCGTTCTTTTGTTAATGTAACATAAGATCTAAACACAAAGAAGTACAAGTACACAATTAGTTAGTAGTTTCTTAATAACATAAGTTTTACAAAGTTTCAACCTTGTTATATCTTCACATTTTGACAAATTAACAATATGATTTGGCTTGATTAAAAGAAAAAACAGAATAGTTCAAAATGAAATAAAATGTGTTAAGTATAATTTGGTACAATACTAATTAGTTGATTTTCAGTTTACTTTTGATAGACTATATTATACAGTTTGATAGTATATACTAATTTCAACTTTCTCCACAGATATGATGAGCAAATAGTATGTTTAATATAATGCTATAGTTCTAAAATGTTTGCCTTGATAAATCGTTTTTGAAGGAAGGATAGCCAAATATGGCAGATGAACTCGATCAAAGATTCAATGAGGCTTTCAATGAATTTTTTGAAGATACATACAACAACATCATGGAGAATCAAACAAATAAACAGAAGAAACGTGCATATATCAAACGAAACCGCGAAGCGGGCCACAACTGTCTATGGAATGACTATTTCAGTGAAGATCCGACATTTCCGGCTCATTTATTCAAACGTCGTTTCCGTATGAACGAGGAACTATTCATACGTAATTTTTATTGCCTCTAGGAAAATGTTCCATTCTTTTAACAAAGAAAAGATGCAGTCGGAAGGTTAGGTCTATCTCCACTACAAAAGTGTACGGCAGCTATTCGTATGCTTGCTTATGGCTGTGCGGCTGACGCCGTTGACGAATATTGACATTTCCGGCTCATTTATTCAGACGTCGTTTCCGCATGAACGAGGAATATTTATACGTATTTTTTATTGCCTCTAGGAAAATGTTCCATTATTTCAACAAAGAAAAGATGCAGTCGGAAGGTTAGGTCTATCTCCACTACAAAAGTGTACGGCAGCTATTCGTATGCTTGCTTATGGTTGTGCGGCTGACGCCGTTGACGAATATTGATATAACATGGTTTTGACCCACTTTTAACCATGGTATTTATATGATTTTATAATATATATATATATATATGTTTTGGAGTCTATTAGGTATGTTTTCAGGTTCATGAGCATTTTGGAGTAAAGTGATGATTTAGGTGCCCTTATGGAGCTTAAAGGAGAGTTTTCCCGAGATGACAATAAAGATCAGACAATAAAGTTGATATCCAGAGATACACGTCGATCGATGCACATCTTGTGTGATCGATCGACGACCTTCCGTAGAAGATGACTTGAGATACTCCATCGATCGATGTACACCATGTACCATCGATCGATATGAAGCGTGAAGAAAAAGTTTGACTTGGCGACTTGAAGCCCAAGTTCTCTCAATATTACAAGATTGCCCCTGACGATTTTTTAACCTAATGAAACTCATATTTATAGTTATGCCTACATGTGTGCTTTGACATGCTTTTTATGCCTTAGCGCTTTTTTATACTTCAAAAGCTTTACATGCTTTTTATGTTATTTGATTTCTAAAAGTATTTTTTTCATCTTATTCTCATTTTCATAAAGGTTATAGAATTCTAGATTTAAAAGAAACACACAAAGAGATTTGTTGTTCAAAAGAACCAAGAGTTCAATCTTCTAATCTAATGAATTTCTATTATTACCTTGTTGCTATGAATCTCTTAGCCATGTCTGAGTAGATTTACTTGTTAGGTTTGGGGTTCAAATAGTTATGAGGTATTAGCCCCAACTATGGATTGTTGAGTTGTGATATTCATTATCCTAGTGAACCTTAATGCTTACTCTAGAATAGCTAACTAGAGTATGATCATCGATTGATTTAACCTTGTTAATCATCATCCAGAAATCATCTAGTATCAGTTAAGATCCTCTTGGGATGTGCGAGAGCCGGTCTATGATCTTGGTGATAACTTATTCAATTTGATCTGAAGCTATATCGATTGATACTCCTATAGAGTAATCGATCGACAGCTACCTATATCATCCGATATGACATCTTACCATCGGTCAATATTGTCGACAGACAGATCAATGGACGAGTCTAATAGCGATTGCTATAGATTTATCTAAGAGTTGAAGTTCTTTAATATCTTTCAAGCAACTTATAAAGACATCTATAGCATTATAATCCTGATTATCTGAATAACAACCTTGAATCTAACTAATTTCTTTTATTGTTTAAAACCTAAAATTAATTTTCTTGAGCAACTCACCATTGCTCACAACTGCATTTTACTTTTAAACCTTAATCAACCTAGCATAATCACTTAGGATTATATCTTTTGTGTTCCTTAGTCCCTTGTGGATTCGATCCCTAAGTACTACAATTGAACCTCTTATTTGAGAGAGTAATTTACTCCTTAGGGTAATTTGAGTGATATCAAATTTGGCCCGTTGCCGAGGAACTAAGATCGCCAATAGATTTAATCTGATTAGGTCTAGGTTATTTTTCTTTTTATTGCTTAATTATCTTCTGACACAAAAAAAAAATTCTTGTCTCTTTCAGGTACATTCCCAGAAGTACTAGAAGCAACAAGAACAACCAACTTGTGTACTCAGAAGACCCCCACAGTTTGGAACGTAGCATCCGCAAAGACTTACGCTCCGCATCGATCGACATCAACAACCGTTTGTCGATCGATACTCGCTTACCACAGTCGACCGATACTTGCACCCTTCCATCGATCGACATCAACAACCGTTTGTCGACCGATACCTTTCATCCGACATCGATCGATACCCCTCATCTTACATCGATCGATACTAACCGGCGAGACATGGTAGCGACTATTATTCTCACTGCTGATGAGAATGGAGACCTGCGTGATCAAGATGGTCACCTGCGTAATGCAGCAGGTCAGAAGCTGAATGCTCAGAGGGAGATCATTCATGAGAAAGAAACTGCACCTACAGACCTCGTTCAACCTGTAGAAGAGGCTAACAGAGCTAGAACTTTGGCTGACTACAACCGTCTGGATCAGTTCTACACCAACCGATCAGCCAATCGCCCCCCCCCCCTGCTATTCAGAGAGGAGATTTCGAGCTCAAGCCGCAGTACTACACACTTGTAGGACAGATACCCTTATGTGGGTTGTCCCATGAGCATCCTATGGACCATCTGAAGAGGTTCGAGGATCTCATAACTGTCATCAAAGCCAATGAAGTCCCTCAAGACTATCTCCTTTGCAAGCTTTTCAAATACTCTTTATCTGGAGAAGCTTTGCAGTGGCTGAGACTACTACCACCAGGTTCTCTCACAGTCTGGGGCAACATCAAAAACGCATTCTTGCGTAACTTCTTTAATGACTCACGCGCTGAAGAATGGAGGAGGAAAATTGCTACATTCACTCAAGATCCTAGAGATTCGTTTAAAGACACATGGAAAAGATTCAAATCCTACCAGCGAGATTGTCCACACCACGGATTCAACAACGTGCAACTGCTTTGCACTTTCTACAGAGGCATCACTCTGAAGTATCAGATGGCTCTTGACACAGCTAGCGAAGGCAATTTCACCACCAGGAATCCTCAAGAAGCTGTGAAGTTGATTGATAACTTAGCTTCAAGAAGCAGCACAAAGAACAT